AACTCGACTGTAAGGCTGGCGGGAGCCCGTCGCCTTGAGGGGACGCTTGCCATGCTGGCGGCCCCGGCAGCTCCGCCGCTTGCCCGGTGCCCCCGAGCGTCGCCCGGCGGCCGGGAGGCGTGTCCCCGCCAGATGGGCCCTACCCTGAACGGCGCTGGCCGAGCGTCGGCGGAGACGGCGCCGGCCGCCTCCCGTGCAGGGAAGGCCTGAGTTACGCTTGCAGGTAGAGCCTCCTAGGCTGTCGTGACGTGACATGACATGAGCATTCGTTACCAAAAACATTTTTAACCGTGTGATGGAGGAGAGTGAATGCTACTCTTCTGCTTTGGTAAACGTTCCTTGAAAGAGTTTCATTATTTTTTTCTTACTTTACCAGTTGTTGTCCTGATCGTTTGTTTTCTTTTTTCCCCTAGAAGGAAAGAACACAGAATTTCCTACTTAGGCGTTATGATGTGATTTGTTCCTTTATTTCAGTAAGCTGCAATGTCATGATGGCATTTTCAGGCTGACCAATTTTACCATCAGAACTACTGAAAGATAAATAGGAAGAAGTTCTGTCATGGCTTTTCCAGCCTTTTTGCTGTTTCAATAGTACTTCTACCATGACTTTCTCCTGTGTTGTCAAATGCTGAATAACTTTAGTGAGTTTCCGTGTGCTGTTCTAGTATATTTAAGTATCTTAAAAGAGAACACATACAACTGTGTGCTTTAGATAAAGCTCTAAATATACCTCCTGTCACTGAGGAATGGATCTTACTCGGTGAAAGGAAGACAGATGACTAGGTAATTTGTGAGGATTTTTTAAATTTATATAATAGTTTTATAATCCATATACCGAAATAACACATTGTTGAGCAGTTGCTCTTCACCCATTTTAAGAGTACATATCATGCTTTTAGACTGTCATTCTGTCATACAGACTAAAACATCCATGTCATCATAACTGTTGCATTTGTTTTCTTTATACTAATAAAAGACTCATGTTAATAGTACATTCACAGAAGTTTACATCATGAAGAACTATTTACACCATGTAATAGTAATTGTTTTATTTAGCATCTAAAATAAATAGTACATTCTGCATGTTTTAACCATGTTTTTCTTTTGCAGAAATACAGGAAAAGTGAATTTATGGAATAAAATTCTTTGCATCTGTCCAAGGAAGCAGAATTGGGTCTGTTTTGAAGGTGCCAAGTTGTACATAATATGCCAGTGCTATTGGTATATACAGAGGTCTTCACCACACAGGATATAGAAATAACAGTAGTGTTGCAGTCTGCAGAGACTCTGCAATTGAAAGGTGATGGTTTCTGTCTAGTTTGGAAGTAATGATATCTTAAGGTATTTGCCCATACCTGGGAGCTCATTTAGTAAATGTAGCCTGAGTAATAAACATACTGTGTTTTGACAGTAATGCTACTGATGCAGTTTTAGGATTACCCTGTGTGGGATTTTGTTCTTGTCATTGTGAACGGTCAGCAGTTTGAGTTTATTGCTTAGCTAGAATGACAGAAAACAAATGGGCATACTGTCCAAAAGCAGAGGGGTTTTTTAATTAGTCATATCAACCATTTTTTTCCTAAATAGTTATTTACAGGAAAGAACTAAATTTGCTTAATCCTTGAAATTTACTGGTCTTCACGTATTACATGAAGGGAGCTTAAGGATGTTTTTTATCTAGTAATTAAGCAGTATCTTGCAGTCCTTTTTTATGTAATTTGTTTTAACGATTTTTTTTTTTTTTCAACTGTGGATCAATAAAAGTTTTGGCTGTCATCTGTTTATTCTTGTAAAAATCACACTATGAGAAGACAACTACTTTTTTTAAAAAAAAAACAACCTTGTTTTTTTTCTCTTGTGATAAGCAAATGCTATGCTTTGGATCTTCACTATCCTGCGTGTTTAGAATTAAGATGCAATTTTGGAGACATTTAGCAGTTACAGAACATCTGCAGTTTTGAAGACATGGTTCTGAGGGATAGAGGAAAGTGCAGAATGATACTTGCTCTAAGTCTATGAGTTGAGGCATTCATCTGTAACCAGAGAAACTTCTGTCCAATTATGGATGTCAGATGTTTCCATATATTGGATGTTGAAATAATGTGCCATATTTAAGAAAATTGCTCCCATTTTTTTTATTAGTCTACTTTGTGTGGGAATTCCACTAGTAATGCATATTATTTTTATAATACTACAGTACATGTTACATCATATATTTTGAGTATAAATTTAGTTCATCCTTGCAGCTGTTCCAATGCAGTGGGGAAGCTGAGAGATGAAGTGAGGGCCTTTGGTTCTCTGGGCCATAAGAGTCTAAGGCACGGGCCAGCGTCCTGTGGCTTTGGGTTCTGCTAGGTGATCGGGTAGGAAGCCTTCTGGCAAGGCTTGGCCTTTGAGGGGGATTGCTGGCTTGTTACTTGTGTCTGGAGGGAACTAGTTTCCCTCTCAAGGAGGATGAGATGGGAGAGGAGAGACTCTTGTGCTCCTGAGGGGTCAGCTGCTTACCTCTCCTGTCCCAGGGTGATGATGATGATGGCCTGCATCCAGGGCCTGTCACTTAAAGCCATTGGGCTCTTCTGGTTCAAATCACGTGATTTATTGTACGTGCTCTGGCCCAAGTGAGGTTTCTTCAGGGCTGGTACTTTGCTGGCCTGCTGTGAGCTCAGCTGAAAGGCCTGTTATCCAGGAGGGTTTTAACTGAGCTGCATTATCTGTGGATAATGGTTGGCTATGTTGAGCTTTAGAATCTGGGGATAGGTTTACCCATTAGAAAAAAATAAATATATATATGCACCTTTATTTTTCCAAATGCATCCTATTTGTCTTTCTGTGTACATTGTTTTTGATGTAGATTCTTCAGAACTGGGTTTATTTATGTCTCTCAGCTTGGAAAGTAAAAGTATATTGTGCCTACTGTCAAAACTAAATAAATGCAAGATGAACTTATGCTTGAATTTGGTTTTGTGAGTTTATGCTTGAACACTAATCTATGCCTTTATCCCCTTTATTCTGGTATAAATTAACTGTGTGTACTATACAAGATACATGTTCCATAAAAGGACAGAAGAGTTACTAAGGATTTGCCCCAAACTGTATTTTGAGATGATGGAATACAGTCTGTTGACATCTTTTGAGAAGGGGAAAAAATATATATAACAAGTATAAGCTTATATTCTAGATGTTGATCCATTTTCACATAACCATTAGTTTGTAGGTGGTGCTTGCTTGAAGCTTGACAGGTGCAGCATTGCCAGTTAAAGCTGAAAAGCATGATTAACCTACATTCTAGTAATTTGTACAGGTGAGCAGAGCCTTATTCCTTCCAAGAAAACCATCTCTAGTTTTGGGAGGGGGGAGGAGAGAAAAGGGGGTGTCTTTGCATTTGCGTGCTGCTGAGGGGTCAGATGCTTACCTCTGCTGTCCCAGGGTGATCATGATGCCGGCCTGCATGTTCTCTATGGTTTCTTAGGGGCTCCAAACAAACAACACAACACAGTTTGATTTAGAAGTGCTCAGGCTACCCAACCTGTGGCTTATGTTGGCCTTCCAACATTTCCAGTTCATGCTCCCGTGAGCTTGTTAGTTACAGATTAAGCCATCTGTTGGACAACGTACACTTCTGATAGTTCAAACTGTCTGGTACATTTAAGGAGTAATAAAGTTTTTCATAATTTTGTAATATAATTAATGAAAATGTCAAGTAAAATTTGATCATAGCTTTCAAGCGTCAAGCTGATTGGCTGAAAACTTTGGTGATAGTAAGGCACATTACAATTTCATTTTTAAAGTGGCAGTGTGTTGAAACCTAAATCAGTTTCACTTCTTGGCTTCAACTCCGTGGAACAAAATGGGTATAATTTCTTATTTTAAAGGGGGGGATTTTTTTAAAGGGTGTATGGGAAGTTAATACCTAGTCGCCATTTGTCTTGCAAAGACTGTAACAGTAGAAAATATTTGGGGCTAAACCATAGCAGGATAAAGCAAAGTAAAAATTTTTTGAGGCTGTTCTAGAGAGGTAAAGTTGGATGCAACTTTTTTCTGTAACTTAAATGCATCTCATTTCTTTCTTTCGCAAAGCTAATCTACAGATCCACAAATTCAGTAACAGCTCTATTAAAAGAGAGGATAGCATTCCTTCATACCTCTCTTAATGCAGATATTTTATGCAGTGGTGTTCCCACTGGGTGTCGCCGTTTCACCTGTGTATAGTCGTCACTGCCTAGTTCCTTCCAGCTGCTTCCACGTTTCATGAGTATTTAGTGTAATCTCTTCTGCTTTTGAAAATAATCCAGGGCTTTACTTGCTTCCTCTGTCCCAGTCTTGTTTTGAAGTTGGTAGTGACTAGGAAGGAACATAAAGCACAACTGGAGGTTGATAGTTGAATAATTGTGCATAATATACATTTTGTTTGTGCAAGGCTGTTGCTTTCTGGACAATGCTAGATGCCTCGATACCTTTCAGATGTGAGGAAACTGTAAGTAAAAGTGGATAACTTTGAAATCTACAGCCCAATACCTCTTTAGTGAACAGAGAAGAACTTGTTTACAAAGTGCAATAGCTCCTGGTGTCTTGTTCTTCGACACCCTCAAGACATATACTTAGGGTGATTATGGTATGAATTGGTAACAAGTTTTTCATTACTTCCTATCTGTATGTCAGCATTAACCAGCTTATACTGACCAGACTACTGGAGATCAATAAAACAATGGTGAGTTGCCTGTGAAACTGCAAAAATAGAAGAATAAAAATAAGTATGTCCACATGCATTCCTCTGGATTTGGCAGGTAGGTGTCATTTCCTACCCACAGAGATAATCAGGGGCCAGCTCAGACTGCTGTGAGAGAGACTAATTAAAGCATTTGTGCTTATAATGGTAAAGTTACAATAATTACCGGGTTTATGCAAATTTATTTACTACTTTTCCAATTCCCCATGTCACTCCCTGCCCTCACTGTGGGTTGAGAATTTATTTTCAATGGTGAGAAGCACTATGAAGTAATAGGTTAAGTAATTGGGATGATCACAGAATTGCAGAACGGTTTGGGTTGGAAGGGACCTTAAAGATCCCCTAGTTCCAACCCCCCTGCCATGGGCAGGGACACCTCCCACTAGATCAGGTTGCTCAAAGCCCCGTCCAGCCTGGCCTGAACACTGCCAGGGAGGGGGCAGCCACAGCTTCTCTGGGCAACCTGTTCCAGTGCCTCAGCACCCTCACAGTAAAGAATTTCTTCTCTATACCTAATCTAAATCTACCCTCTTTCGGTTTAAAACTGTTACCCCTCATCCTATCACTACACTCCCTGATAGAGTCCCTCCCCATCTTTCCTGTAGCCCCCTTTAGGTACTAGAAGGCTGCTATAAGGTCTCCCCAGAGCCTTCTCCAGACTGAACAACCCCAACTCTCTCAGCCTGTCCTCATAGGGGAGGATACTTCAATTAAGATTTTGCCACGGTTACTGTTTTGATGTAGCTTGTTTCCTGCCTATAGTTCAGTAGTCTTTTCTGGTATGGTAGAAGGTAACAATCACTAATGTACAGTACAATGCCATAGAGAGTTTCAATGCAGTTAAGAAGACCTTATTGCATGGTACATTTCATTTCTATCATCCTTTATTCTATCATCTGCATTTCCTTTATTCTTATTTCCACCATCTGTCTAAGAAGAATCTCCTTTTTACATGAGTTGAATTCCCTTTTAGTTGCTTTTCTGTTGCTTCATCTACATCATTAGACTGGGCATTTGGTTAAAAACTCAATATGGTAGCAGCTCCCACTGAGAAACACCTGTGCCTAAGCAGACCTAGAGAGAGAAATAAAACACATCTTTTTGAAAGTTGTCTTTGAAAATTTTTATTTTCTCTTCTCTCATTAAAAAAAAAAGAAAAAAAGCCTTGTTGATTAACAGCATTATGTGCTGGGGAGGGCTTTCTTGTAAACCACTTAGTTCTAATTCTGGAATAATTAAAAAAAATCCATAAAAAGAATTCTCTTAGGACTAGACTAATAGACTAAAAAATCTCAAAATCAACCTGGATTTTAATAGATTTAAAACTTGTTTCCTTGGTGTTATATATATATATATATATATATATAAGAAAGTCTGCTTTAACTCTGGTAGAAAATAAGTGTGTGGTATATGATACAAATGGTCTTTTGCTTTTTGGATATCTCTTTTGGGCTGAAAAATCCAAGGAATTATTTCTGAAAATCAAACCAGTTGTGAAAAAGGACTTAATGAAGTAGGTGTGGCAAATTAACAATTTTGTCTTATATAAGGTATTTAAATAATACCATAAATTC